TAGCCAGGATGGTCTTGATCTCCTGACCTCGTGATCCGCCCGTCTCGGCCTTCCAAAGTGCTGGGATTACAGGCTTGAGCCACCGCGCCCGGCCTGTTATTATTTTTTTTAGTTGAAGTTTTTTTTTAGACAGAGTCTCCCTCTGTCATCCAAGCTGGATTGCAGTGGGGGCTGGGATTACAGGCATAAGCCACCGTGCCCAGCCTGTGGCCTTAGTTTATCTGCTGAATGCTAGGAACAGTTTATGCCAATTTGTAGAGATGTGATCAATGAATTCTTTCTCATTTCCACTGGTCTTAATGCTCCCATTCATGGATTCAAGGAACCGTAGGCTCCTGGGGATCAGCTCATCTAATTTCTAGTCTAACACTGAATCCTCCTTTTGGCAGTTGTTTATCAAACCTCCGCTTGAGGCCAGGAATGGTACCTCACACCTGTAATTCCAGCACTCTGGGAGGCCGAGGCCGGCAGATTACTGGGAGGTCAGGAATTCAAGACTAGCCTGGCGAAGATGGTGAAACCCTGTCTCTAATAAAAATACAAAAATTAGCCAGGCGTGGTGGCGTACACACACCTGCGGTCCCATCTACTTGCCTGGGGGCTGAGGCAGGAGAATTGCTTGAACCCGGGAGGCAGAGGTTGCAGTGAGCCGAGATTGCACCATTGCACTCCAACCCCAGGCGACATTGCGAGACTCCATCTCAAAAAAAAAAAAAAAAACAGCCTGGGCTCTGTGGCTCACGCCTATAATCCCAGCACTTTGGGAGACCGAGGTGGGTAGATCACCTGAGGTCAGGAGTTTGAAACCAGCCTGACCAACATGGTGAAACCCCGTATCTACTAAAAATACAAAAAAACTTAGCCAGGTATGGTGGTGTATGCCTGTAATCCCAGCTACTTGGAAGGCTGAGGCAGGAGAATTTCTTGAACCTGGGATGTGGAGGTTGCAGTGAGCCGAGATCATGCTATTGCACTCCAGCCTGGGCGACAGAGCCAGATGGTGTTAAAAATAAATATATATATATATATGCACACACACACATATATATGTAAATACATACATATATATGTATTTCCACACATATCCATATATATTAGTACAGGCAGTGGTTCTGGCAACATTGTGAAGGTAGTGGGTATGAGTTTGGGAAACACCGTCCCTCATGTGCCAAGGTGTATAATCCTTCACATTCACCATGAATGTTTTTTCTTCATTCAAAATCTTCAACTCCTGTGTGGAAACAAGGATTGATAAAGTGAGCAGCCTCTCCTTCCACAAACTTCTGAATACAGAGATTGAGGCACTCTCTGGCTGGTTCCCTCAGGACCTTGAGGTCGTCCTCAAGACCTGCATCAGACTGCCTTTGTCATTTCCCTGTTCATGAAGATTTTCATTAGGAGCTGGGCTTCTTAATAAAAACACAAATGTAAGCCTGACCCTGTGCTATCTCTTAGCAGCGCTAATAAAAGGATTAGTGCAACAAGTTTCTAAAATGCATTTTAAATATCAGTTTTATTTTTCCTCATTGATGCAGAAGATAGCTTACTATAACATTAAGTCTTTGAAATAAAAAGGAAACGAGAACACAAAACCATTGTAAAGCAAATAAAACATGCAATCCTGACGATGTTTTGTCAATAAACCCAGGCCTAGCAATTTAAGCAGCTGGGAAGAGGGGTAAGATATTTTACTTGTTTGTTCTGCCCTTGGGCTTTACTGATTGACTGACTGAGACAGAGTTTCGCTCTGGTTGACCAGGCTGGAGTGTAATGGCATGACCTCAGCTCATTGCAACCTCCACCTCCTGGGCTCAAATGATTCTCCTGCCTCAGCCTCCTGAGTAGCTGGGGTTACAGGCATGTGCCACTACACCTGGCTAATACTGTATTTTTCTTTAGTAGAGATGGGGGTTTCATCATGTCAGGCCAGTCTCAAACTCCTGACCTCAGGTGATCCACCCACCTCGGCCTCCCAAATTGCTGGGATGACAAGGGTGAGCCACCATGCCTCTCCTGTCCTTGAACTTTGGTAAGTTTTCCTTGTAAGCTGATGGCTGTATTATTTAAAGGTATAGGGAAGAACAAAGAGAAGTCTAGCCCATTGAGAAAGGGGGTGTTACTGATAAAGGACTAAAGTGAATTTTTTTTCCCTGAAATCTGTTTGCTCTGTGGTTATATGATGGTTAATCACATGCTTATTGCCACCACTTATAAAGGTAGAGGCCGTGCTACATAGTCTCATCTATGTGGTGCCCACATCATAGACATTATCCACCATGAAAAAACAGAAACAAAATAACAAAGGGGCTCCTGGTTGATGGAACCTCCTACTGAGCCAGGACTGCACCATACTGCAACCTGCCTCCAAGTCCAACACAGTTTCCAGAGAGTTCTATCAGGTGCTTAAAAGGCACTAAGCAAGAAAAGCCCTTACTCACTGTTTCTTTTTTTTTTTGTTTGAGATGGAGTTTTGCTCTTGTTGCCCAGACTAGAGTACAGTGGAATGCGATCTCTGCTTACTGGAACTTAACATTAAAAGAAAAAGAAAAGCCAGGCGCGGTGGCTCACGCCTATAATCCCAGCACTTTGGGAGGCGGGTGGATCACCTGAGGTCAGGAGTTCGCGACAAGCCTGGCCAACATGGCGAAACCCCATCTCTACTAAAAATACAAAAATTTAGCTGAGCGTGGTGGCGGCCGCTTGTCATCCATCCCAGCTACTTGGGCAGCTGAGGCAGGAGAATCGCTTGAACCCGGGAGGCAGGGGTTGCAGTGAGTCGAGATCGCGCCACTGCACTCCAGCCTGGGCAACAAGCGCGAAACTCCATCTCAAAAAAAAAAAACAATGAAAAGAAAAAAAAATTAGTTTAAACAAAATGGTTACTTTTGGCCGGGCATAGTGGCTCACACCTGTAATCCCAGCATTTTGGGAGCCTGAGGCGGGCGGATCACTTGAGGCCAGGAGTTCAAGACCAGCCTGGCCAACATGGCAAAACTGTGTCTCTACTAAAAAGGAAATACAAAAAAATGAGCCGGGCATGGAGGCACATGCCTGTAATCCCAGCTGCTTGGGTGGCTCAGACACGAGCATCACTTGAACCTGGGAACAGGCAGAGGCTGCACTGAGCCGGGATGGCACTGTACTCCAGCCTGGGCGACAGAGTGAGACTGTCTCAAAAAACAAAAAGTTACTTTAATACATTTGGGCTATTTATTGAGACATGTCACTCTGTCGCCCAGGCTGGAGTGCTGTCAGTATCTTGGCTCACTGCAACCTTTGTTCCCCAGACTCAAGCAATCCTCCCACCTCAGCCTCCAGAATAGCTAGGACTACAGGTGAACACCACCAGGTCCAGCTAATCTTTGCTTTTTTTTTTTTTTTTTTTGAGACGGAGTCTTGCTCTATCACCCAGGCTGGAGTGCAATGGTGCGATCTCAGCTCACTGCAAGCTCCGCCTCCTGGATTCATGCCATTCTCCTGCCTCAGCCTCCTGAGTAGCTGGGACTACAGGCGCCTGCCACCATGCCCGGCTAATTTTTTGTATTTTTAGTAGAGATGGGGTTTCACCGTGTTAGCTAGGATGTTCTCGATCTCCTGACCTCGTGATTTGCCTTCCTCGGCCTCCCAATGTGCTGGGATTACAGGCATGAGCCACAGTGCCCGGCCATATTTCCCATTTTGCTTTAGGCTTCTGAAAAAATAAAGGAAGACACTTCTTTCTGCCTATCCTTACTATGTCATCCTCTGCAAGCCATCGCCTCTGTATATAAAACAACACTGTCATGAAAAATCTATGCCAGAGATACGATTAATTCCACCCACAGCTGATGAATATTTTCTGATTATATTTCTCAAGGCAAATATCCCCAACAATAACATGTATTGAACACTATAGAAATAAACAGGATAGACAGAAAAAGACTCAGACTGTCTAAGTAGTAAAGTTTGTGCAGAACTGGAAACAAAAATCCACCTGGGTCAGAGGTATAGGGTTAATTTATCTTGCTGAGGGTCAGGTTTCTCCTTCATGCATGTTTAATGGTCCACCTAAGTTCAACTGGAGGAGCATCTTTCTTCTTTGTTAACCAAACATGCCCAGGTAGAGCTGCTTCTCTTTTCTATGGTAGCTGCTGAGTTCTGACTGTGTCAGCTGGAGGTACCGCCGGACGTTGGCATCTTGGAAGATGATGGAGAAGCAATTAGAAACAGAGTCAGTTAAGACCATAATCATACCTTGTGGCAAGAAACAACGTTAACATGCTCCCATTTTTAAATCTCTCCAAGATCTGAATATATCGCAACCAATCCCAGCTGCTTGGGTGGCTCAGACACGAGCATCACTTGGGATGTGGAGGTTGCAGTGAGCCGAGATCATGCTATTGCACTCCAGCCTGGGCGACAGAGCCAGATTGTGTTAAAAATAAATATATATATATATATGCACACACACACATATATATGTAAATACATACATA